AGAGCATACCTGTCTTGGAAGTTGTTACTGTAAATGTTCAATAATCAAGTATAGATTCAAATCACTAATCGAAGATCTACAAACTCCGGAAATCTTAGATAAATAATAATTATTTTAGTGAAGCTTCTAATTCTGTTTTCCTGCAATTTTTGTGAAAAAAAACCTCACTTTTATTCCTTTCTCTTTTCTAATAAAAAAGAACGTTTTTTTGAGACTTAGAAAATCGAATAAAATTATTTCGCAAATCGATATTAGAAAAACCAATAATACATGTTTCGATACATCTTCATCTTCTTTTTCCAATAGTGAAAACTGCAGTTCTCTATCTTATTTCTATCAAAAATTAATCGAAAAATACTCACTAGGATTTATGTAACCGTGACACATGGAAACAAAATAGATCTTATCGAAATTTTATTATTATGATATTGGTTGAAGTATGATCAAATAACATAGAAAAATACAGCATTCTTTTCTCTTGAAGACTATATAGAGAAAAAGTTTCTTAAAGGGTACTACAAAATATAAGTGTCACTGCCACTACTTTTGGATACCCCTAAGTAAATATAAATGAATTTCAGCTTAAATTATTATGAAATAAATACTTTTTTATCAGACCTATTTTTTAACATTAAACTTAAAATTCAATTAAAATTATTTATTATATATATTTGACTTATATTAAGTTAAAGTAAAGCAAATTTATATTTGTTTCGTTAAGATTTTTTCTCAAAAACACTTGGTGAACGTAAAAGCTATTTTATTTTAATCGAAATAAATATAAATTTATTTTAGTTTTCATGTACTACAAATTCAATGTTCTTCAGAATAAGATTTACACGATATAAAATGATTTCGAAGTAAAACAAAATAGTTTTAACATTCACCAAGTGTTTTTGAAAAAAAATCTTAACAAAATAAATATAAATTTCTTTTACTTCAATTTAATACAAGTCAAATATATATAATTAATAATTAAATTTTTTTAATTGTGAGTTTAATGTTAAACAATATACCACTTAATAAAAAAATGCCCGGTTTATAATAAATTAATTAAAAATTAACTTTTATCTGTTGAACTTTTTCTCACAATAAAAGTTAATCATTTTAAAATTATTTTATTTTAATGCACTATGAGTCGAATTTTTTTTTTTGATAAATTAACTCATTTTTTCGATCTTAAGTAAATTATCATAGTCAAAATAAATTCTCTTTTAATGAAAAAAATTATCACTTCAGTATAATGCATAGCTAATTTCATTGACAATAATGGTATAATTACTTAGGGCAATCCAAAAGTAGTGACCTAGGTACCTTATTTTCTTATAATAGGCTTGTTGAAATTTTCTTTTTATATGAGATGATAGAGAAAACGAAGCTCTATTTTTCTATGCTATTTGATCGCTATTCAATTGGTACCATAATAATAAAATTTCGATAAGAACTGATTTTGTTGAAACTTAACTGATAGCACTAGATCATAACAAGACCTATAATAAATGGCAGAAGTTTGCATGTCATATTTTAATCTCTAAATATGTTTTATTAAAAAAACAAAAAATACCACAAGATGCAGTGTGAAAAGCTCTAGAATTTACAAAAGTAAAGATTATTTTATAGTGTACTTTTTCTGTTCAAAAAGAAACAAAACTTCTATGCGACCTGCCATCGACGTTACGAAGAAGAGGAATTTTTCGTACACCAAAAAGTGATCTTCTTCGTAGTGTCGAAGGTTGGTCGCATAGAAGTTTTGTTTCTTTTTGAACAGAAAAAGCACACTATAAAGTAAGCTTTACTTTTGTAAATTCTAGAGCTTTTCACACTGCATCTTGTGGTATATTTTGTTTTCTTAATAAGGGTTGGGTGGGGGTGTGGTTGTGGCTATTGTCATCTACAAATACTAATGCCCACATCCACCACCCACACCCACACCCACGCCCACATCCCACGCGCACACGCACACCCCACACCCACACCCCACACCCACCCATACCCACACTCACCCACACCCACACCCACACCCAAATCATATTGAATTCTGTTGACTTTTGACGATTTTTCACTACAAGTACATCTTATTTTTATTGGAATTCGAATTTACTGACAAATATTTTTATTTATTGCTTTACATACAGGTCAAACAATTGATCTTCTAATATTGAAAGTACATGAAATATATCATCTCCTTGAATATTCCGCAAAAAATGCATTAAATTATGATGATGATGATGCTAGCTTTATTTGGATTAATACAAATAATCCTTATGTCCTATCAGATTGATGAAAATCTTTATGAATATGACGCTATTGGATATCCTAATGAATGTATTGTTACTATTGAATAGGCCTATATGGATGAAGAGAATCGTACTTATGAATTGATACAGACATAATGCATTTAGTTGGTGGAACTATTGATTTTTATCAAAACTCTCATTTTCATAGAATATGATTGCAAGTCATTTGTATTGAATCAATGATGAAAACAGTTTCATTACATACGATTGAAGAAATTGAATTTCGAATATGTACACTTATCATCTATTTACGGCAAGGTCAATTAGCTTTTAAATATGAAAGTCATACACAATACAATGATTCAAACAGGTAGTTGAACATGTAATGGAAGTACATCTATGAAAATTCAAAGAAAAGTAAAATAGCCTGAACCTTTTTTTCTTTACAGCAATTTCGTTCAACATGAAAGTGTTTATTATGTTGATGAAAATGTTGATTATCGATTCAGCTCCTATGAATAGATATGGCAGCTATATTTTCGAAAATTCATTTTTTCAAGTTATGGACCAGAGTATTGTAACTAACCTACTTGGAAAACGCCAATTCACCTAAATATATCAAAGAATTGTTATCATCGCATTAGGAAACTGGTAGTCTCACTTTTTTAAAAATTCAATTGAAACATAAACAAGCCAGTTGACAAGATAAGTTTTTGATTTTGAACGACTGAACCTACTCAAATTTTTTTCATCTGATTTCAATGCTTTTTCCTGGGTGTGGGTATGTGAGTGTCGATCCCAGTGAAAAATACTTCGAAAAAAAATGGAACAGAATGGTTTTATAAAAATATGGAAACCTTTTTTCTATGTAAAGAATGCGTTCCTTTTGCTAGTGAATACGTTCATGTTCAAGAAGAAATACTCTCAGTCTGAAGGAACTCGTTCTTTGCCGTTCCATAATAAGACGGAATACTTTGTTTTCTATTGAGAAATCGTTCTCTATTTGAAGGGAAAGCATTCTGAGCCATTCTTAAACCAATAGAGCCCAACCTAGTTCACTCTCTTTCCAAACGGCACGGATAGCATTCCATCGAAATAAGATCAATTTCTTTTACGTTTTCTAGAGAAGCATTAAAAGAATGAATTCTTCTAAGTGATGAATACTTTCTTTTGAAATTAAAGCACATTTCGATTGGAAAATCAAAGATCTGAAGCAAAGCAGGTTGAAAATGATGTGAGAAATGGTGGAACCTTTGGTTAGTTGTTCTTTGGAGATACTAAGTCTGATTTAGAAAAATCATGATTTTAATAAGGGTTTGAGTTACAACGATTTGAAGCACGCCATTCAATCGAGCTCGTCGAGTTACCCCAAAAAATGGTCTTCTGACGAATTAAGATTCATCCATTAATAATCAGCCGTATGATCAAGAAAGTTATCGGCTGTCAAGAAGAGAAAGCATTTCAAAAATGGTTGAAAGCGTTCCAAAAGCGATGGAATACGTTTTTAACCGTTCCATTTCGGAACGACTAAGAACACGTTCGAAAGGTAATAGAACGCGTTCTAGGCAGTTCCATTTTGGAATGCTTTCCATTTTTTTCAGAACGTTTTCTTAAAAAAAGGGCTTTGAATTTTTTGGAAAGCATTCTCAACCGTTATTTTTAGAAATAATTTTCACTGGATATATATTATAAAATTGAGGAATTTGAGTGAATTTGAAATAACGAGGTGGTTACAACAAATTCACTCAAATTTCTCAATTCTAAAAATATACAGTTACATTTGTGACGTAAGGAAGTTATTGCTCCTTGGCGTAAGTTTCATCTTGTAAGTGAAATCACTTTTAGTTGATTACTCTGTAGGATATTCTGACATTTAGTTCTCGATACCCAGTGTAATGATATTATGACATCAATGTCAACTATTCAATAATTCCTTCCGTCGCACCCTCACCTGCGGTGCTTGTGTGAGAATGTATTTTTCTAATTAATGAATAACTGAATAGTTGAACTTCAATTATTCAATAATCGAATTCAAGTTTCAGATTTGACATGTATGATTGTTTCATAGCTGCTGTATTATATTCTTTCCGCATATCCTACTAATCGATTGATATTTTGGGATGGTGAACACATATTACGCATATTTTCTATTTATTTGTGCTGTTACTATCTCATTTTTTTTCTCTCATTCCTTACGCATTCCATTACCATCCGTACACCATATATTCTAATGAAAACTCCTCAAGAAACCTAACATTTATCTTGTCACAAAGAAAATTGTATGAGAAAAAGCTTCCGTCTATGTGATTATAAAAGATAAACAACTTTATCATTATTTCCTGCTCTATACAGTTATATTCTTAGTATGAGTCTTTTTTTATTAAGATTTAAGCATTTCTCTGATCCTACAAATTACGCAAGTATTATAGGTTGATATTCCACCAACGGTAGAAATTCATATGAGATTGCATCGCCATTCAAACTTTCTTCGGCGACTTTCTGACAGAATCCTGCATTTCACATTCTTTATTCTTCGTCTTTGAAACCTTTATTACTTATATGAGCACTAATCTCCTAGAATAAGTATTCAGTTAAACGGATCTATGTTCTTTTATCGTAAAGTTACTGATCAATCGACTTTTCAAAATGAAAGCTTGATAATCCATTTTTTTGTTTGCTGATCCAACGTACAAGACCGTATGTAGAAGGCAAAATCAGAGATGAATAATGCTTCTTCTTCATCAGGATAGTCAGATAACGGAGCTACATCGAGTTTCTCTTGAGTGAATCAGCACGGATAATGAATAGGACATTGCCAAATTGCTCGGCTTTCTTTCGATTTCGACTTGTTGATGTAAAGGCTGGAAATGTAAGATACGCCCCGATATTGTCACGATACTGTTGAATTAAATCATCAGATAAATTGGCTCCTCGATAAAAATAAAACTTTGAGTATTCATTCGTACCTTTGTTTTTAAATGTCAGCGCCTGCAGAAGATACGCGAACGGTCCAAATGTAACCATTTTACTTTTCCAGAGGTTGAGTTTACTCTGATTACCGCAAAGTCTCATATATTCATTCATCTTTTTGTATAAAAATGATTCCATTGTGCAGAGATGAGCACAGCATTGCCACAGTTGTTGATCTGATTCATCGATAACGTTCCGAAGTTGTTGTGCAGTCCATTCTGCTTCTTTTTCCTTTCCAATAAGTTTACCTGCGATGATGATACCTTCAGCAGCTTTCTCAATCAAAAGTCGACGATTTGCTGGCGTTTCAAGTGCTTGACTATCGTGAACATTGAATTGCTTGAAAACTTCACCGATTAAACCTAAGAAGAAACGATGTTCAGCAAAGGGTGTTGCAGAATGAATGGGATTGGGCATGAATCTTGCTTCACGAAGTCTTGGCTCGATTGTCATCCCGTCTCTACTAATGCGTTTAACAGGTCGTTGATTATTTGGATTGGAATTTGATATTTGAAGTGACTTTTTAAAATCGAGATGGTAGTCATCAATGAGAGCTTCTGGTAATTTCTTTTGATATGCTTCCTCAATCATAGATGTTTCGACATCGAAATAAGAACTCCATTCTTCTTTTTGTAAAGAATTTCATGGATATACATTCGATTTCCACATCCATTCAACGCGCGTTGAGGACGATGCGTGCATCATAGTAATTAAGGTGCGAAGCACTTTCTAGCGTCGCGTCGCGAGTTTTCTTTCTTTCTTTATTTCTTACTAGACATACGCACATTTATTTCGTATTTTGCGTCGCAATGTTCTTGAGAACCGAAAGTCAGAAAATTTTCGTTCAAGCGCGAAATAGAAGCATCGAGATCGAACCGAAACATCCTTTATTTCAATTTTTTCCTTGATGTCTCGTTCATATATGAATAGCGTCCAAAAAAGACGAATTTTTTAGGACTTTAATTTTTTTCAAGCTTCGAGATAATTAAAACGAAAGTTAGGCGCCGTTCTCTTTGCACAAATACAAAACAGCTGTAAGTACAGCTGATGATAGATAATGAATCATACAGATAATTAAACAATCAATCGATAGTTTTTTTTAGACGAAGGTTGATAGGCTTTGATAGAGTTCTTGCAGAGATAAATTCTTCAATGGCAACTTTTCAGTTTGTGACAGATTTGAAGCAGCTGATGGAGGAAACTACGAGTTGTTTTAGTTATAAAGATCAACAGAAACTGCTACTTTTTGTGAAACAGAAACGAAGAGAAACATGATTCGACTTTGAGTCTCAAATTGATTTTTCGCTTTTTTCGAATTTTCGATAATTGGAAAAAGTCGATATTCGTGCTTCGCACCTTATCTCGCATTCTCGACTTTGTCGAGATGCCATCTAGTTATTAGAATGTGTTTACACTTTTTGAATCATTACGCAAGTATGTAAAAAGAAAAGAATTTCATTACATACTCAACATCGTTATTTTTTCTCGCTTATTTTCTCGATTCCATGGTGACTAAAGCATACGGCGATAAAAAAAGAACGATATTAAATCGACCAATGTTAACCTACTTTCTGGAGTGCTTCCAAACGTATTTCAACGGTCTGCTCTCTATTTCTTATTTTCATTTTTGTTTTTTCTGTTCTCTGCTATTGAAAAACTATTTTTCTCCATGCTCTTCATACACAACTCTGCATTGTGAAGAAGTAAATTTAATAAACATGCGGTGCATATACATCCTAATGTGAACATATTCAAGTGAACAATGGATAACAAGACGATTTTTAATATATCTATCAACTTTTGATGAACTATATTGAAAAATCTACACTAATAATATTTTTGTTTACATTTTTAATCAGAATATTAAATCAATGTTCATTTATATTCAGAGAAAGGATCACATCTCTTGACGCGTTGAGGGTGCGGGCGTGAAGGACCCCCAGTTCAACGACCACAGCTGCACCCACACCCCATCTTAATTGTTTAAAAACTTTTCAGTTGAACTTGAATTACGTAGATTATTAACATCAATTGGTTTCAATAGTGAACACATACGCCAATCATTCCAAATTCAGTATTATGTACACTTGAACTTTCTTGATGAGAATTTTATTCTTTTTTTTTCTTGATTAAGAAACTTTATTTTCGGATCGACATCCAAAATTAGTTAAAAAACCAGTATTAAAATCATTTGAAGTTGTTCATACATATATTCGTGTACCAATAAGAGCTACTAATAAACCATTTTTATTACGTAGGGTGTGGGTGTGGAAAGAGAGGCCTGCATCCATACCAACACTCAGACAAATACACCCACACCTACCGTTTTAGCATCGTTTGAATTGAATACATGTTTTCATTCTTAATTAGTAAGACAAAATGGATTCAAAAACAGTCAATTGAATTTTCTTGTGCGACTGTTGATCATTAAAGAAGAAAGGTTTTCAGGCAATATGACTTATGTTTTATTTAAAAAATGATATGGTAGCTCTTTCCTCAAACAATTATGAGCTTTCGTCGTTTTGCTCTCCAACTATGTCTTGCTAGTCTCTACCAAAACACAGCAGCTCTAGTTACAGAGACTTTAATTGACGACAGTTTGTTCTTCTCTTGTTCTGCAGATATATATATACAAAAATACAAAAAGGAACTTAAAAAAAAGGAATTATAACTTGCTGAATAATGATTCACTTCATACTATAATGTGGACTGTTTGATATTTTTACCAACAAATCATCGTATTAAGAGTGAGTGCATATACAGTCATAAAAAAAGAACAAAAATAAAGACCTAACAATGATTTCTACTGTTCCCAGGCATTCTAGATAATTATCAATAGGGTATCTATTAAATTTTCTTTTTAATATAATTTTTAACAATACATATATTTGTATGTTTCATACATTGCACCACAACCAATATGCAACAAGAAATTCTCATTGTCAGCAACATTGATGTAACATATTATTGTTGTTTGCATTATTTCCTTTTGTTCTAATAGCCATTTTGGTTGAATATTCTCTACTCATTTGATTGAGACTGAATGAGCTACTTAATTACTCACTGTCGATCTCAGTGTCAAATGAGTGTGAGTGTTGTTGTGGGCATACTTTATCGTTACGCATACGCACATTTGCACTCTCAAAGTACGAGTCTAAGTATTCCTTCATCCGTTTATGAAATCAATCACTTTCTCTATGAGAAACGCTTTTAAAAAGTGCATCGCCACGTGATTATAAAAATCGTGCCGTGACAAAAAACCATGTGTTTCAGAAACTGTTTCAACGTATGTAATAAAAAAAGACTGTTTTTCAGTAAAAAAAAAGAGCGCGTCAAAAAATGAAATGAAAATGCGTTTATAAAAAGATGAGTGTTTTTGGAGAGCAAGAACGAAAAAAGACATTTGCTTGCACGGTAAATAAATTCGTTGTAATGGATATAATTAAATGTATTCGAACGATATATTTGATAGGCATTGCAATTAAAAAGAAAAAATGCGTTGTCAATAAACAAAGATGCATGTTAATAATTTGAAAACGAAAAATGACGCATTTACACATAAAAAGAACGTTTTTTTCTCTTCAAGCGTGTATTGGAACACTCTTGTATACAATATCGTTTTTCCTGAGAGAATCGTTGACTATAAAATGCATGCAACATGTCATCACACAAAACGCTTTACCTTTTCTGTCTATGTATGTTGCAGTAGGGATTCAAGTAATATGTGATTTAAAATTGTACTGATAGGAGCTAAAATTTTAATTTCTACCGTTGTAGAAATTTAAATATTCGCTTATACTGTTAACAATATCTCACAAGAAAAAAACACACAAAATAAGCAAATGTGAGATCTGAGCGCTGATTCAAAGAGAATTACATCCCACACCACAATTGATTCATATCTACACAACAACCTATATGCTGCACCGACACTCATACCCAGTCAGACTTCAACTCTGATTACGCAAAATGTAATTTTTCGGAATTACTTTCTTTTAATTCTTAAACATTATTCACACATATTTGGTCAAGTTTGTAAAAAAGTATGTTAGTAATGAGGTTAATCCAGTTGTACGAGCCTTGCACGTAATGGGATTGCGCTAAATAAACAGATGTGAACTTCGTGATATATTTAATAATTTCTTGTGCTGCTTCCTATGTTATTAAAAGCTAATCAGCATGCTTCTGTATATTATTATCGGTATAAACAAGTATGTATATTTCTACTACAGTAGAAGTTACAATACTTTCGGTATATAAATTTCTAGTAGAATTTGAAATTTTTCTGTAGTAGAAATTAAAACTTTAATTGTTTATACTAATACAATTTAAAATCACGTTTTATTTGAATGTCTACTAGTAGAATTCGAATGTATACTGCAAAATTCACACAAAAAATATTCACATGCTCTTTTCAAACTACTTCCATGTTTAGATAAATCGAAAATGTTGCATTTTAGACGAGTACGAATATTTTTTTTCAGGTCCTTGAAACGCATAGAAACGTGCCACGATATAAAAAATGGCTAAATGGGAATCTGATGATACAGAAAATGAAATAAAACTGCACGAATATGGAATAAATTGGTTACCAATAATAATGATTCTTATGTTAATTGTTCTTCTGCTTATTATTGGTCTCGTTATTATATTTTTACGTAAACGACGCGCTTCTGGATATTATAATCCCGCAGCAACCAATGAACCAGGAGCAACAATAACAATTCCATCATAAATATCTTCTGAATTCATTTGCAATGGATTATCTTATCGTTTTGAGTTTTGTTTTTCTAGCTTCTTCCTATCTAATCATTTGTGTTTTTCTAGACACAATGCAAGAATATTAGGCACCACGTAACCTATACGTATTCGATTTTGATTATTCTTATTACAAAATTTTATTGCTCTTGTTGTTTTTTTTATTTCTTGCCGACCATTAATAACTATTTACGTGATGATTTTTTTTTGACTCTTCTGCATTTCTATGCTGAATTTGAGTATGTAGTAGTATACGTGTCTGGTTTAATTGTTGTTTTAAGCTTTAATCATACCAACACCCAAACCGACAAGCACAGTATAAAGCTTTTCATCATTGTATTGTTCTGAAAAAAAGATATGTAGTTATAGGTTCTCCAATCGAAAAGTCAACAGAAGTTCGAATAGAATCGAAGTTTTGATTGGCCACTATAACTTCTGATGGAAATTTAAACAAACGGGTAAAAAGAATCTCGCTCGAGATCAATTTTTGTCATTAATATAAGAATAAGTGATTCTTGTTGATACTTAATTATAGAAAAAAGATCAAATTTATCAAAGCATTTTGTACATAGCTTTCTTTCAACTCTATGTATCTTGTCAAGAAAAAATCTGTGTATTGACTTACTCAACCAGTTTTTCTTCAAAAACCTTATTGACTTTTTGTTACTTCTTTTTTCACAGTAGTATTTACCAAACAATGGAAAAATGGAACAAAAAAATATGTAAAATAATATTTTACTTCAACATCTTATTTGAAAGAAGTATTCATCAACATGTAAGAAAATTTTTTCACAACTAACATCATCAATATCATCAATAAACGCTTGCATTTT